TTTTATTTAAAAATTATATGTAGATCTATAAACCCAATGTAGACTTATATAGATGTAATTTTTATATAAGTTAAAATTATAAATAATATTTATTTAATTGTTATTTAAGATTTAGTAAATATAACGATTATATAGAACTTATTTATACAATTATATAAAATTATAAATAATATTTATTTAATTGTTATTTAAGATTTAGTAAATATAATGATTATATAGAACTTATTTATACAATTATATAAAATTATAAATAATATTTATTTAATTGTTATTTAAAATTTAACAAACATAACGTTTATATAAAGCTTATTTATATAATTATGTAGAATTATGTAAGATGTATACAAACATAAATAATATTTTTTAAATTTAATAAAATAAATTTTACATATATATGCAATTATATATATCTTTAAATAACATTTTCTCTAATGCTACTGCGCAAATTAATGCAAGTATATAGTTTAATTATATAGCCGTATAATATTTATTCAATTTTGGAAGTACATGACTCGTTATTTTCATGATTCTCTTCGTCATCTTCTTGCTATTAATTAGATGATAGTGCGAATACAAGATGTATGTTACCAATAAGACATTGCAAATGTTGAGTATAAAGCATTTAAAATATTATGTTTACAATATTAATTGCAGAACCTTAATATCGAAGTATAACTTACCAAGAAATTTCTCAATTTTCGTGTCAGGTACCTCTCATCAAATTTAATTTTGACAATTTCCGGATTAAATAAGTTGTGTAAAACAGATCGTGTTACTGCGTATTGATTTTTCGTAGGCTGTTGGCTGAATACCTTCTTGGCGACCATTTGAAGATAAGTTTTGTTTTCATCCTCAACAATAGTATCCAAGTTTTTAAAGCACCATTGAACTTCTCCACTATTTTTCCATGAAATTATCTCAGATTCTGAGCTTTCTGAATTAACAGTTTGCGAAATCTTCTTTTTAAAAACATGATCGAATATAGCACGTCGTAAAGACCCAAACAAAGCTCCACGATACTTGCAGGACTCAGTGCTAATCTATATTCAAATTTTAGTACATAAAAAAAATAGAAAAAATATTCTAAGCAAGCAATTACTTACTGAATTTTCAATCTTGCCAAATAATGTTTCACATTTTGAATCTCTTTTATACCGGCCCATTTTATCAGGATTAAGAGCTTCAGATAACCTGTTCATAAACTTTTTCACTTGGATAAAGCCAATTGTCTATAGCATTCTTGATACCTTGTATCATTCCTTTCTAAATTTAATATAATAATTTTAATAAATAATATTCTTTTATAATTACTAAAATCTTACTAATAAACTCATAGTAAAATATCTGTATAACACAAATCCAAGATCGAACAGAATTGAAAATTTATATCAGAGATGTAGAATTGATTTTCTCTTCACGTAGTTAAAATAAAATTCATTAATAATATTTAGGTTTGTGTTAGAGTTATTATGACAATATTGATTTGTTGAAACCAGTAAACTTTTTTAATACTAACCTGGCTCTAATTTTC